GTCCTGTGGTGGCCCACTCAGCTTCGCACCCCTGGAGAGAATGTGCAGTCCCTGTCATTGTTCCTGTGATAACCCTAGGCAACCTTACTGTGAGCTGAGCCCCTTCTGATACTCAGAGCATATCCATATGCAGCATACTCAGATTGAATCGGTTGCTGTTGTCTCTGTGTAACAGTCTCAAGATGATGAATGGCCTCATCCTGTTCTTGTGTAACACATTGCAGTGCTGAATGTACTCCCCTGGTCTTGTATAACAGTCTTGAGGGGTTGAGTAGTCTCCTCCTATCCCTGTGTATCAGTCTGGAGGGGCTGAATAGCCTTCCAATCAGTCCCGATCAGTCCTGCTGAGCAATTTAAATTATTCTGAACTTGCCTTAGCATTTTCCTGTCCTAGCTGCATGATACAAATGTTTTAATAATGAACAATTTTAATGTTTTTTTGTAGGAAGTGATTAATTGCATTGACATTGTTTTAAAAGCATAAGATCGCGTTTTTTTATATACAGGTGACTACCTGACTACCTCTATTTTGTATATAATCTGACCCTGTGTTATTTCTTCCTGTAATTCCTCAAATCAGATCGACCCCGAATATCTGGGCTGCACTTTTTTTGCATCCAATATTGTATTTGAAATATTTGAATTAAAATTGTGCCTCATAGAATCCTGCAAGACAGAAGGTGAGGTTGTACAGGACGTTGGTGAGGCCTCTTCTGGAGCACTTTGTCCAGTTCTGATTGTCCTGTTATGGGAAGGATATTTTTAAGCTGGAGAGGGTTCACAAGAGATTTACCAGGAAGTTGCCAGGAATGGAGGGTTTGAGTTATAAGGAGAGGCTGGATAGGCTGGGAGATTTTTTCGCTGGAACATAGGAGATTGAGGGGTGATCTTATAGAGGTTTATAAAATCACGAGGGGTGAATGGCAAGTATCTTTTCCCTAGGGTGCGGGATTTTAAGATGAGGGAGCATATTTTTAAGGTGAGAGGAGAAAGATTTAAAAAGGACATGAGGGGAATTTTTGTTTCAGACAGAGAGTGGTTCATGTGTGGAATGAACTTCCAGAAGATGTGGGTACAGTTACAATGTTTAAATAACATTTAGAAAAGTACACTGATAAGAAAGGTTTGGAGGGAAATGGGCCAAGCGCAGGCAGGTGGGACTAGTTTTGTGTGGGATTATGGTTGGCATGGGCTGGTTGGACTGAAGGGTCTATTTCCATGTGACTCTATAAGTGCCTGCTTCCTGGCCCATATCCCTCCAAACTTTCGAATTCACTTACATGTCTAAGTGTCATAGAGTCATAGAGATATACAGCGCGGAAACAGACCCTTGGGTCCAACTCGCCCATGCCAACCAGATATCCTATGTAAATCTAGTCCCATTTGCCAGCACTTGACCCATTTCCCTCTTAAATCCTTCATGTTCATGTACCCATCCAGAAGCCTTTAAAATGTTGTAATTGTACCAGCCCCCACCACTTCCTCTGGCAGCTCATTCCATACAAGCACCACCCTCTGCGTGAAAAAGTTGCCCCTTAGGTCCCTTTTATATCTTTCCCCTCTCACCTTAAACCTATGCCCCACTACTTTTGGACTCCCTTACCCTGAGAAAAAGACCTTGGCTATTCACCCTATTTATGCCTCTCGTGATTTTATAAACCTCTATAAGGTCACCCCTTCAGCCTCCGACGCTCCAGGGAAAATAGCCCCAGCCTATTCAGCCTCTCCCTATAGCTCAATGTCTCCAACCTTGGCTACATCCTTGTAAATCTTTTCTGAACTCTTTCTACTTTCACAACGTCTTTCCTATAGCAGGGAGACCAGAATTGCACGCAGTATTCCAAAAGTGACCTAACCAATGTCCTGTACAGCAGCAACATGACCTACCAACTCCTATACTCAATGCACTGACCAATGAAGGCAAGCGTACCAAACACCTTTTTCACTCTCCTACCTACATGACGTCTAAACATTCTCGTAATTCTCTTCACCAACACTTACACACCCCTACTCCTGCCCTGGAGGTTTCTCCGAGATCTTGACCTTCTTAAAAGGTATGTTGCCCAGGACACAATACTTCAGCTGTGGTTTAATTAGTGTTTTGCAAAATCTTACTGCTTTTGTGTACATACACATGAAACATGCCTTTTAATAGGTTTCTTAACTTGTCCTGTCTCTAGGATTTGTGCACATACACCCCAAGGTCCAGCACCGCTATAAAACTGCACCAGTTCACATTTAGAGTCTCCTCTTATCCAAATATATATTTTCACATACCACTGCATTGCATTTCATTCCGTACGGATGCCATTTCATCAGTCCAAATGCCCCTGAAATCTGTTACTATCCTCCTCATTGCTAATTCAAAGCCAGAGGATATATTCATAGAAACATAGGAGATAGGAGGGCCTCCATTCTTCAGGATCATTGCTGATTGTCCAACTCAATAGCCTAATCCTGCTTTCTCTCCATAACTCTTGATCCCATTTGCCCCAAGTGCTATATCTAGCTGCCTCTTGAATAGATTCAATGTTTTGGCATCAGCTACTTCCTGGCTCACCACTCTTTCCATTGAATGCAGCAATTAGCAGTCCTGCTTGCACTTAAGTGCTGCCTGCAGGAATTTCATCATCCCTCACTGGCACCAGTGTGCTGCTCAAGAGATGAAAGGTGCAGTTGAAGAGAGATTGGGGACTAGAACTGACAAGCAACAAGCCATCACAAAAACAATACCAGGAGGAAACAGCCCTCATCCTCACAGGAAGTGGCAGAAAAACTTGACAATGCAGTTACAATCTTTGATTCCCAGAAGAACATGAAGAACATAAGAAATGGGGGCAGGAGTAGGCCATCTGGCCCCTTGAGCCTGATCCATCATTCAATAAGATCATGGTTGATCTTTTCATGGACTCAGCTCCACTTATCTCCCCGCTCACTGTAACCCTTAGATAACAAGGTGTAGAGCTGGATGAACACAGCAGGCCAAGCAGCATCAGAGGAGCAGGAAAGCTGACGTTTCGGGCCTAGACC